TAAGGGTTGGTAACAGGCTGATTGGTCGGCTATTTGAGCCAGTAAAGGGGGCTTTACTATTCTTTGGTAGCGAAATGACTTATGCTTCCCTCCAGGCCTGGGGGCGCACACTATCTAGTAGGCTTAGATTGAAGGTATGTCAAATAGGAGTGGCAATATCTTCAGCTATTATCCTCAGTAATTTTCCATCCAAGTTGTCAGACCCTTGTGGCTTGTCATTGTTGCTAGACAACAATACTTTTTTCACCTCTTCCACACTCACTTTACGGAATTCAAAATTACGATGCTTGTCTTTCATAATTTGGTCAGATATACTTGGATGTGTAGTGTCAGCATTTGTTGCTGTCATGCCTAAATTTGCTAATCTTGCCAATGAAAAAAATAATTAAAGTAGTTGGCAATATCAGTGGGTTTTGTGATGAATGAGCCATCTGATTCAATTAATGAGTTTGTCTTTTTGCCCAACATTTCATTTAAGGTGCTCCAAAGCTTTTTACTATCATTCTTTATGTCATTTATCTTTGTTTCATAGTGTAGTTTCTTCTTATTTATATTCAGTTTAGTCACATGATTTGTCAATTTGCAGTACATTTGCCAATTGGTTTTGCTGCCAGACTTATTTGCCATTCCTTTTGCCTCATCCCTCTCAACCATACACATTTTCAATTCCTCATCAATCCACGGGGATTTAACCATTTTTCCAGTCATTATCTTAATGGGTGCATGCTTATTAGTAACTGGGATAAGCAATGTCATAAATGTGTGCAGCATCTGGTTTCTCCTCATTACACACCACAGCAAATATTATTTACATCAACAACATAAGAATCTCTACAAAACTTATTGTATGACCTCTTATACACTATATACACTACAATAGCTGTAGGATCAGCAGAGGCATTCAGGGCAGTTAGAGGGACATAAATTAGGTTACTTACCTTGTGTCTTCCAACACCCCTGGGATAATGTACATTTGCTGAAGCATTATGACAACTCAGCAACACAATGGTAGGGTCATTGATCAGTCATTGTCTCAACGCAGCCTTATAATGCTATGAAAAGATCTAGGAACCCATCCTCCTTATAAAACAAGCTTTCTTTCCAGAAGGTATCAAAATTGTCAATAAATGTTACACACACAGAGCTGCAATAGTCTCGTAGCCAGTTATGGAGGGCTAAATGTCTGCTGAACCGTTCAATGCCACGATTTAGGGAGGGCAGAGGGCCAGATATTATGGGGTGTTTGTTGGTGTCAAGCAGAGACCCAATCAGTTCTTTAAAATCCATCTCCAGCTGTTCTGAGCTGCCCTCAATAATGTCATTGAATCCCACATGAACTATGATAGACTCGACTTCCTGATGCTGGTTTAAAATGTTTGGGAGCAGCTTATTGATGTCCTCTATTCGTCCTCCTGGATAGAACAACGTTTTTTATCCAGGGACTGAGACATTTCTCACCATTGAACCAGAGAGAGGGAAAGGAGCCGAACTCGAAGACGAAGCCTCTGCTGGAGTCAGTGTAGTTGGAGTCAGCACCGCCGTCGCAGACACAGGCAGTCCCAGACACAGGCAGTCCCAGACACAGGCAGTCCCAGACACAGGCAGTCCCAGACACAGGCAGTCCCAGTGATGAAGACACAGGCAGTCCCAGACACAGGCAGGCAGTCCCAGACACAGGCAGGCAGTCCCAGACACAGACAGTCCCAGACACAGGCAGGCAGTACCAGACACAGGCAGTCCCAGACACAGGCAGTCCCAGACACAGGCAGTCCCAGACACAGGCAGTCCCAGTGATGAAGGAGCAGGTAGATCAGGCACCAGTGCAGTGAAGATATTCCTCATGTCAATCTGCTCTGAACCTCTGTCACTCCCGTCCGCTTAGCAGCATGCCGCTTCCTTCGGTTTCCACGACTTGTGACATGGGACCAGCGCTGATTGGAACAATCCTCTTGCTGTTCTCTGTCTATTATAATAATAATAATAATAATAATAATATGCCATTTAGCAGACACTTTTATCCAAAGCGACTTACAGTCATGCGTGCATACATTTTTGTGTATGGGTGGTCCCGGGGATCGAACCCACTACCTTGGCGTTACAAGCGCTGTGCTCTACCAGCTGAGCTACAGAGGACCACGGCTCGTTTACTTCACTACAGGATGGAGGAGGAGAAGCAGATGGAGACGACTTCCTTGGCAGGCAAGTTCCAGGTAGCACAGCCCATTCAGATAGGGACAGATGACAAGGCGGGGAAACATCCATCAGGCCCGAGTGGCGTCCAGCCATAGGAGTTGAGAAAGTTCAGATTTGCGTTTTCCCCTGTAAATTCATGCAGAATTGAGATTTGCTTGCTAAGCATAGCCACCTCCTTGCTGTAATCCTCTGCTAGCAAACAATTACCGGATTGGAACTCCGGATTGTCAATATTGTCCCAGACGAGCGTAATAATGCACCTGAGCTCAATTTCGAGTCTCATAGTAAAGGGTCTGAATACTTATGTAAATAAGGTATTTAAGTTTATTGTTTTTTTAAATAAATGTGCAAACATTTCAAAATCTGTTTTCGCTTTGTCATTATGGGGTATTGTGTGTAGATTAATGAGGATTTTTATTTATTTAATCCATTTTAGAATAAGGCTGTAACGTAACAAAATGTGGAAAAAGGGAAGGGGTCTGAATACTTTCCGAATGCTCTGTAAACAGTTTAAAAACTATTTTGACAAGAAGTTGGCACCCACCAACTTCTTGCTAACTTTACTAACAAGATAAAAGTCAAAAATAAAGTCACTGTGGATGGGGTCTTGGATGGTTGAGGGGCAGCTCTCGAGGGGAACTGTGTTGGGGATCTTGGATGGTTGGTGGCCTGGCGGTTGTGAGCTTGAGCCGGTGGCCGAGAGGTCGCTGGTTCGGGTCCCCGATTCGACTGGGTGGGGGATCTGTCCTTGTGCTCTTGGGCGGGGTGCTTGACCGTGGGTGCTTGACCGTGGTTGCTCCTGTGGGCCGTTCTGGATAGGAGTGTCTGCTGGATGACTGAATGTCATGTAAATGTTGAGCGGCTTCACTGCAGGTAGATTGTATGTTTTTAAAATTTACAACTGGATGTGCAACACGTCTGCCATTAATACTAGAAAATCATAATTCAATTACATTTTTTATCTGCCAATTTGTCAACAACCCAAATAAGAAATTCAGCACTCAATATCTATTATGATTTCATATTTTTATTTTTAAACAGATGTTCCATGTTGTGGAATTTCTACACAGTCAGTGAGAATGGAGATGGCGGTGGTGTGAGACAGTTGGCTAGTAAATGGTCAGATGTGCAGATGGACAAATACAACAAATTCTTCCAAAATGGCCAAATCTGTGAAAGACAAAGAAACACCCCATCCAGACTGGAAATTCTACAGAGTACCAATTGAATATTCAAATGGTACGTTGATGAACAAATCATTGGTGTAGAGGTTGAGAGTTAACTGGCTCGCCTTTTGATAGTTTGTGAATAGTTCAAATGGTTTGTAATGATCTTCCTTCACTGTCTCTTGTTGTAAAGTGGCTAAGAATATAGAATCTAAGAATGTAGAATCTAAGAATGTAGAATCTAAGAATGTAGAATCTAAGAATGTAGAATCTAAGAATGTAGAATATTGAATCTAAGAATATTGAATCTAAGAATGTAGAATATTGAATCTAAGAATATTGAATCTAAGAATATTGAATCTAAGAATATTGAATCTAAGAATATTGAATCTAAGAATATCGAATCTAAGAATATAGAATATAGAATCTAAGAATACTGAATCTAAGAATATAGAATCTAAGAATATAGAATCTAAGAATATAGAATATTGAATGTAAGAATATTGAATGTAAGAATATTGAATGTAAGAATATTGAATCTAAGAATATTGCAAGAGCTGTTTGTTTATCTTTGCCTTTTTTTAAGCAAAACATTTATTTGTATTTTTATCATATAAACAAGTTAGGTCCAAATGATCCAAATCTGAAAAACCCACTGAACTGCAACCACTGAGAATGATCTCCCAGTCTACAGAAGAAGAGAGAAGACAGAACCGGTACATATTACTGACGGGCCCAGTTTCTCAATACCGATAGAACTTAAGCTTTTACAAGTGTTTTCCATTTATCATCATATACTAATAGAATCATCTCTGATTATGTGAGTAACTTTTTTTAAGTTCTCAGTGACTTCAAACATCTGTAAACTTTGCATTTCTATTCAACTTTGCATGTTTTCCTCCATTAGAGGAGCAAGGAAGTTGAGCTCAAGTGAGGATGAAGAGGCTGATGACAGGAGAGCAGGACGGCAGGGGAAGTAGCTTTAAAGCCGGCTCCATTTATTTCACCACCAGCTTCTACCGACCTCCAGAGTAGTTCTACCTCTAAGACCTACCCTGTACAGCAAAGAGAGAGACTTACCCGAGACTGAACCCACTCTACCCAAGAGAACCCTTACTTCTTACAGTCCTGATAGCCCCTTCGCCCTGAATCCCCCCAACAGCCTCCCTACATCTTACAGTCCAGACATGGCCTCTGTCCTGCATCCCTCCGAGAGAGCCCCGGCCCTGCATCCCTCCGAGAGAGCCCCGGCCCTGCATCCCTCCGAGAGAGCCTCGGCCCTGCATCCCTCAGAGAGAGCCCCGGCCCTGCATCCCTCCGAGAGAGCCCCGGCCCTGCATCCCTCCGATAAGAGCGTCTGCTAAATGACTAAAATGTAAATGTAAAAAAATATAGGCCTGTTTAACTATAATGTTGCATCGATAGCTCTATGAATCTGAGTTACATTTCTCCAGCCCCATTCCTCAACCCTTTACTAAAACAGTGTTGGGGTGCCTGTTTTGTTATTGTTTGAACTGCAAATTGCCCCTTAATGGATGATTTTAAAGTATGATGCACCCATTTTACAAATAGCATTAGGCCTACATGTATTTACACCCCTACTCTTGTGATACACTGTTGTTCACAGCTGTACTGCAGGAAATGGTGACCTTTCTGATGATCCTGAGAGAACAGAACAAGGACATATTTTCCCAGCTTCAAAACATTAACAGAGCACTGGAGCAGACCAACGACCCTCCACCAGAAGAGTCTGGTGACCCCTAGACAACCCCTGGTGACCCTCTAGACGACCCCTGATGACCCCTAGACAACCCCTGGTGACCCACTAGACAACCCCTGGTGACCCACTAGACGACCCCTGGTGACCCACTAGACAACCCCTGGTGACCCACTAGACGACCCCTGGTGACCCCCTAGACGACCCCTGGTGACCCCCTAGACAACCCCTGGTGACCCCCTAGACAACCCCTGGTGACCCACTAGACAACCCCTGGTGACCCCCTAGACAACCCCTGGTGACCCCCTAGACGACCCCTGGTGACCCCCTAGACGACCCCTGGTGACCCACTAGACAACCCCTGGTGACCCCTAGACAACCCCTGGTGACCCCCTAGACAACCCCTGGTGACCCCCTAGACAACCCCTGGTGACCCCTAGACAACCCCTGGTGACCCACTAGACAACCCCTGTGACCCCCTAGACAACCCCTGGTGACCCCCTAGACCCCTGGTGACCCCTAGACGACCCGGTGACCCCCTAGACAACCCTGGTGACCCCCTAGACAACCCCTGGTGACCCCCTAGACAACCCCTGGTGACCCACTAGTAACCCTGGACCCCTAGACCCCTGGTGACCCCCTAGACGACCCCTGGTGACCCCCTAGATGACCCCTGGTGACCCCCTAACCAACCCCTGGTGATGGGATCTAGAGGCTGAACTCAGGACAAATGGGGACCTAAAAAGAAAACTGATCAAATCAAATGGTATTTGACACATGGTGTAGACTATAACCCTAACCCAAATGGTATTTGTCACATGGTGTAGACTATAACCCTAACCCAAATGGTATTTGTCACATGCACCGAATACAACAGGTGTAGACCTTACAGTGAAATGCTTACTGTAAAGTAAGGTAGCTTACTGGGCGGCAGGTAGCTTGGTGGTTAAGAGCGTTGTGCCAGTAACCGAAAGGTCGCTGGTTCTAATCCCCGAGCCGACTAGGTGAAAAATCTGTCTGTGCCCTTGAGCAAGGCACTTAACCCTAATTGCTCATGTACAGTGGGGAAAAAAGTATTTAGTCAGCCACCAATTGTGCAAGTTCTCCCACTTAAAAAGATGAGAGGCCTGTAATTGTCATCATAGGTACACGTCAACTATGACAGACAAAATGAGAAAAAAAAATCCAGAAAATCACATTATAGGATTTTTAATGAATTTATTTGCAAATTATGGTGGAAAATAAGTATTTGGTCAATAACAAAAGTTTCTCAATACTTTGTTATATACCCTTTGTTGGCAATGACACAGGTCAAACGTTTTCTGTAAGTCTTCAAAAGGTTTTCACACACTGTTGCTGGTATTTTGGCCCATTGCTCCATGCAGATCTCCTCTAGGGTAGTGATGTTTTGGGGCTGTCGCTGGGCAACACGGACTTTCAACTCCCTCCAAAGATTTTCTATGGGGTTGAGATCTGGAGACTGGCTAGGCCACTCCAGGACCTTGAAATGCTTCTTACGAAGCCACTCCTTCGTTGCCCGGGCGGTGTGTTTGGGATTATTGTCATGCTGGAAGACCCAGCCACGTTTCATCTTCAATGCCCTTGCTGATGGAAGGAGGTTTTCACTCAAAATCTCACAATACATGGCCCCATTCATTCTTTCCTTTACACGGATCAGTCGTCCTGGTCCCTTTGCAGAAAAACACCCCCATGCTTCACAGTAGGTATGGTGTTCTTTGGATGCAACTCAGCATTCTTTGTCCTCCAAACATGACGAGTTGAGTTTTTACCAAAAAGTTATATTTTGGTTTCATCTGACCATATGACATTCTCCCAATCCTCTTCTGGATCATCCAAATGCACTCTAGCAAACTTCAGACGGGCCTGGACATGTACTGGCTTAAGCAGGGGGACACGTCTGGCACTGCAGGATTTGAGTCCCTGGCGGCGTAGTGTGTTACTGATGGTAGGCTTTGTTACTTTGGTCCCAGCTCTCTGCAGGTCATTCACTAGGTCCCCCCGTGTGGTTCTGGGATTTTTGCTCACCGTTCTTGTGATCATTTTGACCCCACGGGGTGAGATCTTGCGTGGAGCCCCAGATCGAGGGAGATTATCAGTGGTCTTGTATGTCTTCCATTTCCTAATAATTGCTCCCACAGTTGATTTCTTCAAACCAAGCTGCTTACCTATTGCAGATTCAGTCTTCCCAGCCTGGTGCAGGTCTACAATTTTGTTTCTGGTGTCCTTTGACAGCTCTTTGGTCTTGGCCATAGTGGAGTTTGGAGTGTGACTGTTTGAGGTTGTGGACAGGTGTCTTTTATACTGATAACAAGTTCAAACAGGTGCCATTAATACAGGTAACGAGTGGAGGACAGATGAGCCTCTTAAAGAATAAGTTACAGGTCTGTGAGAGCCAGAAATCTTGCTTGTTTGTAGGTGACCAAATACTTATTTTCCACCATAATTTGCAAATAAATTCATAAAAAATCCTACAATGTGATTTTCTGGATTTTTTTCTCTCAATTTGTCTGTCATAGTTGACGTGTACCTATGATGAAAATTACAGGCCTCTCTCATCTTTTTAAGTGGGAGAACTTGCACAATTGGTGGCTGACTAAATACTTTTTTTCCCCACTGTAAGTCGCTCTGGATAAGAGCGTCTGCTAAATGACTAAAATGTAAATGTAAAAATGTACAAGCCTTTAACCAACAATGCAGATTTAAGAAAATAGAGTTAAGAAAATATTTACTAAATAAACAAAAAAAAGAAGATAAAAAATGGCACAATAAAATAACAATAACAAGGCTATATACAGGGGCTACCGGTACCGAGTCAATGTGCTGGGCTACCGGTACCGAGTCAATGTGCGGGGCTACCGGTACCGAGTCAATGTGCTGGGCTACCGGTACCGAGTCAATGTGCTGGGCTACCGGTACCGAGTCAATGTGCGGGGCTACCGGTACCGAGTCAATGTGCGGGGCTACCGGTACCGAGTCAATGTGCGGGGCTACCGGTACCGAGTCAATGTGCGGGGCTACCGGTACCGAGTCAATGTGCGGGGGTACAGGTCCGAGTCAATGTGCGGAGGCTACGTACCTGAGTCAATGTCTGGCTACCGGTTTCCGAGTTCAATCTGCGTGATGCTACCGGTACCAGTCAGTCAGGGATAACCGGTCGAGTATAATGTGCGGGACAGTACCGAGTCATGTTCGGGGCTAACCGGTACCGAGTCAATGTGCGGGCACCGGTTAACCGAGTCATGTCGGGGGTAACAGGTACGAGTCAAGTGCGGGGTACAGGTACCGATCAATGGCGGGTACGTACCAGAGTCATGTGGCTACCGTACAGAGTCAATGTCGGGGTACACAGCAGCATGTTATAAACACGAGCAGATGTTATGAACTACAGCGCTGTTATAACACAGCAGCATGTTATAAACAGACTGTTTACAAGCAGCATGTTATAAACACAGCAGCATGTTAAACCACAGCAGCATGTTATAACACAGCAGCATGTTATAACCACAGCACATGTTATAACCACAGCAGCATGTTATAAACACGCAGCATGTTATAAACACAGCAGCATGTTATAACCACAGCATGTTACCGGCATGTTATAAACACAGCAGCATGTTATAAACACAGCAGCATGTTATAACCACAGCAGCATGTTATAAACACAGCAGCATGTTATAAACCACAGCAGCATGTTATACACAGCACATTTAACACAGCAGCATGTTATAACCACAGCAGCATGTTATAAACACAGCAGCATGTTATAAACACAGCAGCATGTTATAAACACAGCAGCATGTTATAACCACAGCAGCATGTTATAACCACAGCAGCATGTTATAACACAGCAGCATGTTATAACACAGCAGCATGTTATAACACAGCAGCATGTTATAACACAGCAGCATGTTATACACAGCAGCATGTTATAACACAGCAGCATGTTATAAACACAGCAGCATGTTATAAACACAGCAGCATGTTATAAACACAGCAGCATGTTATAAACACAGCAGCATGTTATAAACACAGCAGCATGTTATAAACACAGCAGCATGTTATAACCACAGCAGCATGTTCTAAACACAGCAGCATGTTATAACACAGCAGCATGTTATAACCACAGCAGCATGTTATAAACACAGCAGCATGTTTAAACACAGCAGCATGTTATAAACACAGCAGCATGTTATAACCACAGCAGCATGTTATAACCACAGCAGCATGTTATAAACACAGCAGCATGTTATAAACACAGCAGCATGTTATAAACACAGCAGCATGTTATAAACACAGCAGCATGTTATAAACACAGCAGCATGTTATAAACACAGCAGCATGTTATAAACACAGCAGCATGTTATAACCACAGCAGCATGTTATAAACACAGCAGCATGTTATAACCACAGCAGCATGTTATAACACACAGCAGCATGTTTATAACACACAGCAGCATGTTATAAACACAGCAGCATGTTATAACACAGCAGCATGTTATAAACACACATGACGCAGCATGTTATAACACAGCAGCATGTTATAACACAGCAGCATGTTATAAACACAGCAGCATGTTATAACCACAGCATGTAACCATGTTATAAACAGCAGCATGTTATAACACAGCAGCATGTTATAAACACACTAAGCAGCATGTTATAACACAGCAGCATGTTATAAACACAGCAGCATGTTTAAACCACAAGCAGCATGTTTATACCAACAGCCCATGTTATAACAAGCATGAACAGCACATGTTATAAACCACAGCAGCATGTTATAAACACAGCAGCATGTTATAACACAGCAGCATGTTATAACACAGCAGCATGTTAAAACGAAAACAGCAGCATGTTATAACCACAGCAGCATGTTATAAACACAGCAGCGAAATGTTATAAACACAGCAGCATGTTATAACCAGCAGCATGTTATAAACACAGCAGCAGCACTGTTATAAACACAGCAGCATGTTATAAACACAGCAGCATGTTATAAACACAGCAGCATGTTATAACACAGCAGCATGTTATAACACAGCAGCATGTTATAAACACAGCAGCATGTTATAAACACAGCAGCATGTTATAAACACAGCAGCATGTTATAACCACAGCAGCATGTTTATAACACAGCAGCATGTTATAAACACAGCAGCATGTTATAAACACAGCAGCATGTTATAACCACAGCAGCATGTTAAAAACCACAGCAGCATGTTATAAACACAGCAGCATGTTTACACACAGCAGCATGTTATAACCACAGCAGCATGTTATAACCACAGCAGCATGTTATAAACACAGCAGCATGTTATAACACAGCAGCATGTTATAAACACAGCAGCATGTTATAAACACAGCAGCATGTTATAACCACAGCAGCATGTTATAAACACAGCAGCATGTTATAACCACAGCAGCATGTTATAAACACAGCAGCATGTTATAAACACAGCAGCATGTTATAAACACAGCAGCATGTTATAACCACAGCAGCATGTTATAAACACAGCAGCATGTTATAACACAGCAGCATGTTATAAACACAGCAGCATGTTCTGCACACAGCAGCATGTTATAAACACAGCAGCATGTTATAAACACAGCAGCATGTTATAACACAGCAGCATGTTATAAACACAGCAGCATGTTCATGCACACAGCAGCATGTTCTGACACAGCAGCATGTTATAACACACAGCAGCATGTTATAAACACAGCAGCATGTTATAACACAGCAGCATGTTATAAACACAGCAGCATGTTCTGCACACAGCAGCATGTTCTGCACACAGCAGCATGTTATAAACACAGCAGCATGTTATAAACACAGCAGCATGTTATGAACACAGCAGCATGTTCTGCACACAGCAGCATGTTATAAACACAGCAGCATGTTATAACCACAGCAGCATGTTATAAACACAGCAGCATGTTATAACCACAGCAGCATGTTATAAACACAGCACATGTTATAAACACAGCAGCATGTTATAAACACAGCAGCATGTTATAAACACAGCAGCATGTTATAAACACAGCAGCATGTTATAACCACAGCAGCATGTTATAAACACAGCAGCATGTTATAAACACAGCAGCATGTTATAACCACAGCAGCATGTTATAACCACAGCAGCATGTTATAACCACAGCAGCATGTTATAACCACAGCAGCATGTTATAAACACAGCAGCATGTTATAACCACAGCTGAATGTTATAAACACAGCAGCATGTTATAACCACAGCAGCCTGTTATAAACACAGCAGCATGTCTTGGATGGAAGGAGTTGAGATTTGATGTAGAAAAGACTAGTCTGGTTTCTAAGCCGGATAAGACATCAGAATGAATTTAAAGCAACAATCAGCCGTTGAAACAATAACAGTGATGGGGGATGACAGTTGCACTATGCTCATTAGGCATGCAGAAGTTATATTCTTCAAGAATCAATGGGTACATATCATTAACTCCAAAAATGGGTGTAGCAACTGTAGATTGCCCCTTTGATGCACGGCAGGATCTTTATCAAATGTCAACTGCATCAATTGAAGAGGTGCTGTGATACAACACTTCATTAAAAACCTTTTGTGTCAACAGATACATTTTCTTGGAAAGTCTGGAGGCTTTTCCTTAAAATAAACTGTCTGGAGGGTCATAGGGAAACTGCTGTACAATTCCCTGGCAAAAAAATGATAAATGGACAGGCGCAAATGGCAAGTAAGCCCTGAAAAGCATGGTGCTGAAAGAGGCCATTTTAGGTTTTAAATGCATATTTACAAGTAGATTTAAACACAAATGTTATCCAATATAATTAGGGGTGCAAGCAGCGAAGCTGTTGAGACCCTGTTGTATTTGTTGGTGTTGGTTATTAGGGGTTCAAGCAGCGAAGCTGGTGAAACCCTATTGTATTTGTTGGTGTTGGTTATTAGGGGTTGATGCTGGTGAAACCCTGTTGTATTGGTTGACATTGGTTATTAGGGGTTCAAGCAGCGACGCTGTCAGAGCGGCATGGAGTGGCATGGACTAATATATACCATACGAAACGTAACATATCATACTAAATGGAGGGAGACAGATTTACATTTACTATGTTACGTCTTTCACCTGAGTCCAGGTTGCTTTATTATGAAGAACCTATATCCCATTGTCTGGCTTTCCGATAGGCTAACTATGCACAACAGACAAGCAAGCACTCAGTCATGACTAACGTTCCAACATGGCATTATATTCAGCTGCTGAGCTGTTGTTCTGTTTTGCCCACTGCCTCTTCTCTCTCCTATCACCCTCCATCCCACTCTCCTCTCCTCCCCCATCAGGACTTCATATCATGGCAGAACATCTGTCCCAGAGCGAACTGGACTACCCCTTTAAACTGCTGGAGTATTTCAATGGATTCAGAGTCTCAAAGGTTGGAGTTTATCATATTTATTTATCATGTAGACTGACATCCCCTGACCTATGGTACAAAGCCACAGGAAATATTTACAACATAATGTACAGATATGTAGATTAGATCTGACAAAATGACATTATGAAATAAATCAAGGCCCCTCTCTTTGGCCAATCATGTTAACACCAAAAGATGCTGTCAGACTCCTCTGACCCCTGACCTTTGCCCCTCCCATCAGGTTATCTTCTCAGCCTGTGAGTTGGGGGTGTTTGACCTCCTGCTACTGTCCCAGAAGCCCCTGTCTGCAGAGCGCGTTGCCCAGGAGCTGGGCGCCAGTGTGGACGGGATAGAACGCCTTCTGGACGTACTGGTGGGAGTCAACATCCTGGAGGTGGAGCAGATAGACGGGACAGGTGAACCGCTGACACCTTACCAATAACAGACACATTATAACATACATACAATCAATCAAATGTATTTATTAAGCCCTTTTTACATCAGCAGATGTCACAAAGTGCTATATAGAAACCCAGCCCAAACAGCAAGCAATGCAGAAGCACGGTGGCTAGGAAGAAACCAGGCTCTGAAGAGTGGCGACGATTATAAGAGTACATGGCCATTAAGGCCAGATTGTTCTTCAAGACGTTCATAGATGACCAGCAGGGTTGGAGGGAGGGTTGGAGGGAGAGAGGGAGAGAGGGAGAGAGACCAGTGCCAACCAGATTTTTGGGTTCTAGTCCAGATTCTAGCAGCCGTGTTTAGCACTAACTGAAGTTTATTTAGTACTTTATCCGGGTAGCCGGAGAGTAGAGCATTGCAGTAGTCTAATCTAGAAGTGACAAAAGCATGGATTAGCTTTTCTGCATCATTACACACATGGATTTTGTATTGTAAATATGTGGTTGTAGAGTTGTGACCTGAGGGCACACACTTAATGTTTTTAATTGTATAGAACTGCCTTAATTTTGCTGGACCCCAGGAAGAGTAGCTGCTGCCTTGGCAGGAACTAATGGGGATCCATAATAAACCCCAGGAAGAGTAGCTGCTGCCTTGGCAGGAACTAATGGGGATCCATAATAAACCCCAGGAAGAGTAGCTGCTGCCTTGGCAGGAACTAATGGGGATCCATAATAAACCCCAGGAAGAGTAGCTGCTGCCTTGGCAGGAACTAATGGGGTCCATAACAAATACAAATACACCCTTACCACTAACTCTTTAAAAATGGCTTTACATAGAGGAACAGATAAGAGGGGACAGGTGACCTGACCCCTAACCTCTACCCTAACCTTCACCCTAACACTTACCTTTAACCGTACCGCTTAAAACTGGGATATGTACCTGTACACAGCCCGTCTGAAATTAGCCCACCCAACTACCTCATCCCTATATTGTTATTTATTTTGCTCTTTTGCACCCCAGTATCTATCTCTATTTGCACATCATCTCTTGCACATCTATCATTCCAGTGTTACTAAATGTAATTATTTTGCACTATGGCCTATTTATTGCCTTACCTCCATAACTTGCTACATTTGCACACACTGTATATATATTTTCTGATGTATTTTTGACTTTATGTTTTGTTTTACCCCATATGTAACTCTGTGTTGTTGTTTTTATCGCACTGCTTTGCTTTATCTTGGCCAGGTCGCAGTTGTAAATGAGAACTTGTTCTCAACTGGCTTACCTGGTTAAATAAAGGTGAAAAAAATAAAATACAAATGTGAACCCTTACCCCCTAAAATGTCTTGACTTTATCACTCTGATCCTGTCCCCCTGTTTTCTCACTCATCATCATTAATATTAGTTCTAAAGTGGGGTTCTAAAGTGTTATTGTTATCTTGGTTCTAGAGTGTTACAGCAGTACTGTTCTCTTGGTTCTAGTGTTACAGCAGTACTGTTCTCTTGGTTCTAGTGTTAACAGCAGTACTGTTCTCTGGTTCTAGGTGTTACAAGCAGTAACTGTTCTCTTGGTATTAGGTTGTTACCAGCAGTACTGTTCTCTTGGTTCTAGTGTTACACAGCATTACTGTCTCATGGTTTTATAGCGTTTTTTGTTTTACAACAGTACTGTTCTCTTGGTTAAAGTGTTACAGCAGTACTGTTCTCTTTGTTATTGTGTTACGCCAGACTGTTCTCTTGGTTTAGTGGTACAAAGCAGTACTGTTCTATTGGTGTAGGTGTTACAACAGTACGCTCTCTTGGTTAAAGTTTTCAGCAGTACTTTCTGGGTTAAGTGTTACAGCAGTATCTTTCTCTTGCGTTCTAGTGTTATACAGCACAGTAACTGTTCTATTAGGTCTTATTAGTGGTGACAGATAGTATGTTCTCTTGGTTCTAGGGTGTTACAGCAGTACTGTTCTCTTGTTCTAGTGTTACAGCAGCTTATGTTCTCTTGGTTTAGTGTTTACAGCAGTACTGTTCTCTGGTTCTAGTGTAAAGCCAGTACATGTTCTCTTGGTTCTAGTGTTACAGCAGTAATTTTCTCTTGGGTAAAGTGTCTACAGCAGTAATGTTCTCGGGGCTTCTGTGTCTACATAGCAGTACTGTTTCTCTTGGTTCTAGTGTTACAGCAGTATTGTTATCTTGGTTCGAGTGGTTAAGCAGTACGTTCTGACTTTGGTTAGGTGTAAAAACACCTATTCTCTTTGGTTCTAGTTGTTATTTGGTTTCATAGTGATCAAAGCAGTCTGATCTATTGTGGTTTTTTTAGTGAAGTGTTACAGCAGTTACGTTCACTTGGTTGGTGTTACCAGCGTACTGTTCTCTGGGTTCTAGTGTTTCAGAGGAACTGTTCTCTGGTTAATTAGTGTGTACAGCAGTACTGTTCTCTTGGGTATATAGTGTACAGAGGTACTGTTCTCTGGTTTGATATGTGTTACAGCAGTACGTTTCTCTTGTTATAGTAGTTTACAGTAGTACTGTTTTCTTTGGGTATAGGGTTACAGCAGTAATGTTCTCTTGGTTCTAGTGTTACAGCAGTTTACTGCTTTATCTTGGTTATAGTGTGTTTACAGCAGTACTGTCTATTGGTTCTAGTGTTACAGCAGTACTGGTTTCTTGCTCTTGAGTTCTAACGTAGTTACAACATGTACTGGACTCTTGGTTCTAGCGTGTTACAACAGTACTGCTCTCCTTGGAAAGTGTGACAGCAGTAGCTGTTCTCTTGGTGTTATAGTGTTAGCAGCAGTACTGTTCTCTTGGTTTCTTAGTCATTACAGCAGTTACTGTTCATCGTCTTGGTTCTAGTGTACAGCATGATCTGTTTCTCTTGGGTTCTAGAAGGTTTTTTACAGCAGCTTATCTGTCTCTTGGTTTATGTGTTACAGCAGTACTGTTCTCCTTGGTGCTTTCTGTTTTGTTACAGCAGTACTGTTATTGATGTTACTCGTTATTTCGTTAAAGTGTTACAGCAGTTATACTATTCGATTGGTTCTAAGTGTTACAGCAGGATCATTGTTCTCTTGGCAAAGTGAATACAGCAGTTTGTTCTCTGGTTAGTGTTACAGCAGTACTGTGATTTGGTTATAGTGATACAGCAGTACTGTTTCTGTTCAGTCGTGTACGAGCAGTACAGTTTCTCTTGTGTTTCTAGGTCAAGCAGTACTGTTCTCTTGGTTCTAGGTTACAGCAGTACTGTTTTCTTGGTTCTAGTGTTTGAGTCAGCAGTACTGTTATGTTGGGTATAGTGATAGCAGCCACGTACTGTTGTCTCTTGGTTTATAGTGGTAAAGCATAGTCCTGTTGTCTTGGTATTGTTGTCTTATGAGTGTTACACAGCAGTACTGTTCTCTTGGTTTTAGGGTTGACACATACATAGTACTGTTCTCTTGGTTCTCGTCGTTATTTGATTCTTTGTTCTAGTGTACAGCAGTACTGTTATTTTGGTTTCTGTGTTTTACACAATTAAAAAAAGTAAAGTGGTTACAGCAGTCACTGTTCTCTTGGTATAGTGTTTTACAGCAGTACTTTCTCTTGGTTTATAGTGTACAGCAGTTTACTGTTTCTCTTGGTTCTAGGTTTCAGCAGTACTGTTCTCTTGGTTTATAGTGTTCAGCAGTACTAGTTATATTGGTTATAGTGTTACCGCAGCATACTGCTTCTCTTGGGTTATAGTGGTTACAGCGGAGTACTGTTCTCTTAGGTTCTTAGTGGTTACAGTCAGTTATCTGATTCTTCTTGGTTATAGTTATTAGAGCAGTACTGTTCTCTTGGGGTATAGTAGCAAAGCAGTACTGTTCTCTTGGTTTAGCGTGTTACAACAGTACTGCTCTCTTGGTTAAAGTGTTACAGCAGTACTGTTCTCTTGGTTATAGTGTACCAGCTTTATAGACACTGTTTCTCTTGGTTATCGTGTGACCAAGCAGTAGTATCTGTTTCTTGGTTCTGTGTTAGCAGCAAGTACTAGTATCCTACTTAGACAGTATGTCTAGAATGTACCGCTTCTTTTCTGATACAGGGTTCACTCAATAGTTATTCGTTTCGTCAACTTCGCTACATTCACAGTACTGTTCTCTGGTTTTCATGACAAAAGATGTTACAGCAGTAGCTGATTCTTTGGTTCTAGTGTTACCACTAGCAGTACAGGTATATTGGTTCTAGATGTGACATGCGTACTGATTCTGACTTGGGTTCTAGTGTTACAGCCAGTCTGTTCTCTTGGTTATGGTTACAGCAGTATGTCTCTTTGGGTTTTTTAGTGTTACAGCAGTACTGTTATTTTCGGTTTAAAAGTGTTTACAGCTAGTACTAGTTATAGATGGTGGAGGTGCTATAGGTTGCTACAGCAGTACTGTTTCTCTTGGGGTCTGGTGTGTACTAGTCAGTATTGTTCTCTTGGTTAAAGTGTTACAGCAGTACTGTTTCTCTTAGGTATATAGTGCATACAGCAGTTAGATTGTGTACTGTGGTTGTCTAGGTGTACAGCAGTATGTTATCTTGGTTCTAGGGTTTACGAGCAGTAATGTCTGTGGTTCTAGTGTTAAGTAGTACTGTTCTCTTGGTTCTCGTGTTTACAGCAGTATCTGTTCTCTTGGTTCTAGTGTTACCGCATACTGTTTCTCTTTGGATGATAGTGTTTAACAGCCAGTACGTTCTCCTTGTTCTAGTGTTATCAGCCAGATAACATATTGTGTCAGAGTGTATCTGTTTAAAAGGTGACAGCAAGTACTGTTCTGTTGGTTAAGTGTTACAGCAGTACTGTTATGTTGTTCTAGTATTAAGCAGTACTGTTCTCTTGGTTATAGTGTTTACCGCAGTACTGTTCTCTTGGTCTTAGTGGTTTCAAGCAAGTATGTTGGTTAAAGTGTATACAGCAGACTGTCGTTTCTATTTGGGGTCGTTTATAGTTGTTTACAGCAAGTTACTGGTTCTGTTGGTTATAGTTTATAC